TAAACAATAATTTACATGGGGATGTAATATAAATTAGTGTTGGAAAATTATATAAAGAAATGATATATTCCTCACTTGACGCCTATGTTACATGTACATTAGGTTGGGGAAAAAGTCTCTTCGCAAATAGTATGTATGTACTTATATCATATATAATAATCTCTTTGGCTATACCATTTGTATCAGGCTGGTTTTAGTATCATTAAAAAGTTTAAATTTTAAAAAAGATAATTCAAAATTCAAATTGGAAAATGTGTGATTTTCATTTGTTTTTCTGACTGTTAAGATGAGAGATTCTAATGAAGACATTCGATACATTTTAAAACTTTACTAAAAAAAGGTAAAAATGCAGCGCAAGCCGCGAGAAAAATTTGTGATATTTATGGACCTAGTGCAGTGTCTGTGAGAGTAGCACAAATTTGGTTTAAGAGTTTTTAATCCGGAAATTTTGAAGTCAAAGATGCACCTCGTTCTGGGCGCCCTGCGAGAATGGATGCTATTTTTGAAAAAGTGGAGCAAGATCGGCATATCAGTAGTTGCGATGTAGCTGAAGAACTGGGATTTGACCACAAAACACTTGGTGCATTTGATAAAAGCCTGGGTACACAAAAAAGCTCGAAATTTGGGTGCCTCATGAGCTCACTGAAAGAATACCTAATGAACCGTGTACTCATTTGTGATTCTTTATTACGACGAAACCGAACCATTTTTGAAAAACATGACAACTGGTGATGAAAAGTGGATCACGTACGACAATAACGTGCGAAAAAGGTCGTGGTCAAAGGCTGGTCAGACTTCACATACTCTGGCAAAACCTGGGTTATCTCGCAACAAGGTATTGCTGTGTGTATGGTTGGATTGGAAGGGCATTATTCATTATGAGCTGTTACCGCCAGGCAGGACCATTGATTCTGAACTCTACTGCGAACAACTGATGAGATTAAAGGCCGAAATTAATCAACAGAAGAGGTGTGGTTTTTCATCATGATAGCGCTATACCTCACACATTTTAGCCACTCAGAAAAATTAAGAGAATTTGACTGGGAGGTGCTAATGCATCCGCCGTATAGGCCTGACCTTGCATCTTCACATTCCAAAGAGTGTTTCGTTCTCTTCAGAGTTCTTTAGGCAGTGTCATCACGAGAACATGATTAACATCACGAGAAGACTGCCAAAACCACTTGTCGCGGTTTTTTTTATCAGAAGCCGCAGAATTTCTATAGCAATGGGATTATGTCCCTACCTACAAGATGGCAAAAAGTTTTCGAACAAAATGGCACCTACATACTTTAGTTAAATGTAAATAAACAGTATTAAAAATGTTTTGAATTTTCATATAAAATGCGAAGAAACTTTTTCCCCAACCTATTATTTCCGACATAAAAGTATTCTAGATTAATTTCTAAGTAGCGGTTCAGCGATTTCTCTGATAAGCCCGGACAATTAAACAGAATGGCAGACAGAAAAAAAAATGCCATTTTTATATGTATAGATACATAAATTCTGGATTCGACGGGCGTGAATGAGAATCAAAATAGCTATTGTCATTTATTGCACTCATGAGAGTAAGGGTGGGATATTTCATACCTTTAATGCAAAGCATTATCGACCTTAAATAACCAGGTTTACACCTGATATTCGTTTGAATATATTATTTTGACAGAGTTCACATCTACGTGGAGTATTCCCACGTCAAAAGGGGACTGCATACGCACAAAAGGGGCAGTTCATTGGTGCATGTCCCTCGTCTTTTCTGTGTACGAATTAGTTTGCGACACACCGCCAGATGGGGCGCTTGGCGTTACCTCTATTCAGACAGTTTCCCGAGAGGGCAAAATGACCCCATTTTGCCGACGATATTCTCTTAGTGATAGAGATGAGATATTGACACGAATGCCATCGCAATTGGACTTTTTTTAAACAGTGACACACAAAGTGCAAGCAATTCTGAAAGCTCCCTATTTCTATAATTGTACTGCTCAATCCGAGTTTAATTTAATCATTTGCTTTAGGCGATGTTTCACAAAGACAATGTTAAGATAAATATAAGTAAAACACATATGTACGCTGAGATGAGCTTACTGCATTGTATAATATGTGTACTTAATTATATTATTTCCTGTGGTATAATGGAAAATATGTGATCTATTAGCTTGATTTTGTAACTAGAAAGGTTATATGTTGATAATATAAACTATATTACGAGAACTAACATGACATTAATGTCTTAAGAAATAATTTTATTGTGTATTTTCTGGTTTATATTAATTAATAATAGCCACTTTATAAATCATTCCTTTTCACGTTGCTTACATTTTAATGAAATCGAAAAAAAAAAGGGTAAAGTGCAATCCCGATAAGTAACTCGAATGTCAAGGTATAAGCTCAAAAATAGAGTAAAGGAGTTAACAAAATAACAGTTGTTAATTTCGACAGAAAGGCACAATTTTTACGTATATTTTATAAATTACTGTAAAAATTTTACATTTCAAGTTTTATGTTACATATAAATTAATGAAACAATTAGTGAAGTAAACTGTAGTAAGTAAAAACTATCAAAATCTGTTATCGGCATTTGATTTAATGAATTTGCAGATTTTGTATCAATCATTTGTTCAAGGTTAAATAACGAATCTATTACATGACCCTCTATCCATTACGTAGAGTTATTCATTAGTTTCTCTTTGTTACTGATGATGATCCTTTGCATGCAGCTAAATAAATACCGACCGATAATAAACTTTTTTGGCTATGATTCCACACAGAGGCAAACATACGGTACACTGATATGTTACTTAGAAGCCTTTGTATTAGTCTAATAAATACTGTTATATTAATAATATTTTCTGGCAATGAGTCCAAACATAAGAAAATCTAATGAATACAATTGCATGTGTACAAAGAACACAATAGGATAAAACCACTAAACACACCTTTTGTACTTTATTGCTATGATCTACTTAGAATTACAGAGTCTGCTTTTGTAATTCGAGTTACACGAGTATAAATATATGCTTATAAATACCACATAGAGAAATAATTTTTTTTCGAGTGACAGTCTTAATGGTTCGAGATGTTGGGTATTCAAGGATTCTTACTGAGGATTTCAACTTATCGAGGTTTCACTGTATAACATTTGTTATATATATTGAGGATAATCTTAAGAGAAATTCATGATTACAAATTTTGAAATGGATTATGGACACTTCCCTGCTCTTCAGACCTTACACGAGTGGCTTTTCGACGGACCTGCGTGTCTAATTCCTGCTATTTGCCTTTGATTTGATTTGACTACACTCTCTACACGGACAACCTTCCAGGCCGTTTAATCAGAGCACCATCAAGGGCTCGGCAATTGGTTTCATGGATGTAGAATAGTTGTGAATTATTTACACACACAAATAGCTGTATACTTCAAACGTAACTCGGACTATCCTGTCGAACACACGACTAGAAAAGCTCAACAGAAAGCTAGGGCACGTAACTCTTTGAAAAGTCGTATAACCTTGGAAGGTGAAAGTCAAACATCTTCGAGTTACGTTCGATGCCGACATGTCATTGAGCACCCACATAAGTAACGTAAATACTAAAGCCACGTTCGTTTAAGGCAGACTTTACCATCTTACTTACTTTGTGGTTTAACTAATGTGTTTTGTTTGAATTAAATCTTCCTTCTATCTTCTCAACCCTCTAAAAGTACGTGAAAAGGAAAACTATTAAAACTATACTTTTCAAGTTGGACTTCGTTGTCCCTTTTTAATACCGCTTCCTTCTTTGTTCTCGATATTCGGTAGCCATTGTTAAAACCCCCTTTTTAACATAAACAACAGGCTAAAGATGTGAATCCCGCGGGTCAAGAAATTCACATTGAATAATTAGCGATTCAGTGAGGTCGTTGCACTGTTTAAAGTTAGGGTTTTTATGGCTTTAGTTTACATTTCAATTCCAAGCATACTGCTCGCAATTTAGTATTGTAAAAAAATTAACTAAAATGGATGCATTCAATCCATCCAATAAGCTGTTGTTTTACGCCCTAACTTCACAGTCAGTTTCAGGTCTAAACAAAGAGCAAGTTAAATTTTAATGTTTTTAATTTAGGACCTGATGCATCTTTCAGACGTTAAATACTTATATTCAATTTAAAAACTTAAAATCAATTAAATCGCTAAGTAACTTATAGTTTCAGCGTATTTTTTTCACTCGGACAGTTATAAAACTGCCCAAATGTTTATTAAAAGGTAAAATTTAAAATTTACGGTAAAAATTAAAAGGTACTTTTTGTTCGCTAAGAATTAGTAATGTTATAAAATAATATTAATAGTCAACCAAATAAAGCGAGGCCCTTGTTCCTTTGTATGTCAATCGACCATTTTCTGAGAAAATTCATTAGGTCGCTATCAGTTAAGGTCAAACATTTGTGTGATTTTCTACACAGAATAAAGAATTTATTTTGTGTTTTAATAACTTTTTAAACGCAGCTACATATTTTCAAGGCTTTAATTAATTTTTTTTCAGATCCGATCCGTACGTTTGAAAATAGAATAAATTCGATATCATTCATTTGCTGTAGCAAATAATTAATTGTTACCGATAAAAGAAGAAACACTCGAGCCATTAATTTTTTTTTTATGGGAAAAAGTGGCAAACGATCCGTCAGATCACCCGATGTTAAGTGATAACCAGCCTGCCCATGGACATTTGCAACACTCATAGGTTGCTGATGCGTTGCCACTTTATGAAGTGGGCCCCGGCTACCTCACTCACCAGACGAAACGCAGAAGTGTAACACTTCTACTTGACGCCGGTCTTCTGTGAGGTCGTGGTACTAACCCGGACGGACCTGCCCATTGCAAACACTTGCGTGGCCCTACCACCAGTAAATTAATGTTCAATATTATGTGATAAAAAAAATGCAATAATTCGAAAAAAAAAAAAAACAAATTAATGAACTTTGACGCGCTTCGTTTCCAATGGAATATGTATCGTACATTCGCCGGCTAGACATCCCCCGGCGGGGCGCGCGCGCAGCTGTCCGCCGCCCGCCATCGCGCGTGGGGGGCGCAGATGGCACGCGCACTCCCGCCGATTACCGCGCGATAGAATCGATTCGATATCCGCGCAGGATTGCGATTACGCTCACCGCTTCTGTCGCACTGTTCTTTATTCGAAATCGTTTTTTTTTAATGGCAGCAACCAGCCGTTTACAAATATTGAATACTTACAAAATTAAAATGTTTTTGTTTTTTATTTTGGCTAGAACCAAGTATTTTGTAACATCATATTTTGAAACTACTAGAAGACAAAGCGTGCCAAAACTGTGAATTTAAAGTTAACTTTTTAAGTAATTCGATTTACAAATGATTTTTTTTTCTCTTTTAAAATAACAAGGCAGATGCGATTTCGAATTTCGATTGATACCTTTCGAATTTTGTGTTTCTTATTTTTTACTTCTAATCGAATTAAACTTACATGTTGCCGGTCTTCCTTTAACGTGACCGTCATAAATAACAGGGTTTTTGCCGGTGCGTCTATTAAAACGCGATAAAACTTATCGCCGCCGTAACCGTTAAATAAAATCCCGTTTCGGGAGCCGAAAGACGAATCCCGATAATTGCCAATTGGTAGTGGATTCGCGCGTTGACACGTGGTAAATGCCAGATGGCATATCACCTGCCCACCGTCTTCAGACGGCCGAAAGTTAGGGTTGACGAACGAAAAAATATTTTCTACTGGTATACAAAAAAACTTAAAAATGTCATCGTTCTGCACTAATGTGAATTATTTGATATACTTGGTATTTAACAATCCGGTCAGGTCCATTTTTATTTTATCATTGTCCGGATGTGTAAAGTTTCAATAGGGATCCGAAGTTATTGACAGCCCTATCGGAGGTCCGCGATAGCGGCTTGCCGGAACTCGATTGTCCGGGACCGCATTCTTCGGGAATGCATTCCCATCACTACGCACCGGTCGTTGACTTTGAAATGTTCGATTTTCGAATGTCGCTTCCAGCAATGCATGCGTGCATACCATTTATAACATTTCATTTAACTTTAGGTTTTTTTTCTGATTTCTATCCGAAAATACATAATTATAGTGACGATTGCCATTTTGCTATAATAAGGATTTGTACAAAAAATCAAATTATGTTAACGTATGAAAAAAAAATGTGTTACTATTTTCTTAAGGAATGAACAAACGCAGACATAACTTTATTAGTAGAGGGAAGTTGGTGCCGGTATCGGGCGACAATTCATCAATTTAGTCCCCGGCGCTAGGAACGATGACCTCACGCCGAGAGCGTCACCGTCGGGGGCCCCTTTTCCCAATCTGTTCCACATGCGTTGCCAATTCCGTGCCAGTTGCTCAAGCCGACTGCGAGATCAACACGCCAGTTTAACGTGGATAAGGACACCTACACATTTCCATACTTCGTCTCTAAATCCTTTGTATGAAAATCGTAATGACTTGTCCATGTTATGTTCTAGCAAGCCCGTAAATGTAGGCTACCCGCTCGTTTTACACGCCGTATCAATGAAGTCAATTTCGAAATTGGGTTATTCAGTTTATCCGTTTGTTATGCTTCGGATCACGTAATATTTAAAATAAAACCTGGACACCCACTGCAAGAGCACAGGATAATGTAAGCTTATTCTGTGTAGGTTTCACGAAGATAAATAACTAAAATAATTATGACTGCAAAATGCAAACATGCTAAGCCTCCGTCTGTAGTGTGGGAATTCAAGAACAAATCAAACGTGAAGAAATTCTTTATATATTTTCATATGCAAGAAAACAATTTTGTTTAATGAATATTTATAGACTTCCACTAAATATGTTTAAACCTATCACACATTGCCTCATGGGAGTTTAGTACACTTCGATCGCATCTCCCGAGATCCGAGTAACATGGGTTTGCGCTAAAAACGTCCCATGCGCGCACCATAACAAGTTTTTGTCAGCGCGGTGCCTCCCGCGTCGAAATCGAGTGTCGCTTTACTGCCAAGACTGTGTACTGACAATGTAAACGCGAATGTTCGTATGTCCGTTTGTTATATTTTAGCGCTGAAGCTGATGATCAAATTGGAATGGATTTTATGAGAGATGGCAAACGTTACGTTGTGACGTTCAAATCGTTAAGTTGTGACGGCCGAAGCTAAATAACATTTGAAATTCACGGGTTCTGTCTTTTATGCGACCCCGATCTTTGATCGGTTTGACCATCACCATACGAAACATTTTAATGTTATCTGTAGGGTCACTCAGCAGCTTATGCCGTTGTACGAATGGGCATGCTTGTCCAGGAAGTACCACGACTGTACAGAGAATCGGTGTAAAGTAACTTGGACACGATTTTTTTTTAGTTTGGCAACGTATCTACAAACCCCGTGTATTGTAGATAGCAACAGGCGGCGGTAATCACTTCGGTATCATCGGTATCAGTGGACCATCGGTTCATTTGCAAATAAGAGCACATACAAAACTCATCAGCTAACGCCGGTCTTCTTTGAGGTTGGGGTACTTCCCCGGACGCTTCTCACTCTTACAACTGCAGGCGTCGTGTGATAATGTTAACAGTTAGAATGGAGATAAATGACGCGCTAACAATGGTACTATTTTAACTCTAAAGAAACAGTTAAAAATGTCTAGATAAAACTGTTGCTGAATGTTTCGTCGATTCTTACGCGTGCGGACGCTGTAGCCATAGCTTCACATCATCACCGTGCCAAAACCTCTACTTCTTTTCTACTTTGTTTTTATTGCATTTGGTGATATAATGGCTTTATCTAATGTGATTCCTTTACAGCAGTCACACTTTCTCAAATGACATTTTTACAAATTCTCAAATGAATATTTTAAAACTAGTGATGTGCTATTGAAATTTAGTTAAACTAATTTTTTTTTTAAAAAAACGATAAATTAAAAAAAAAAGATCTTTATGGGCAAGACCGCGGATAAAAGCCATGTATTTCGCTATCATTAAAGTCCGCGGTGTTTTTCTATTCGTGTTGTTGAAGTTCGCGTGATTGATGTTGAAGTCTCGGTTTGCGCCGTAGTGCCTCTGATTTAGCGTCACAGTCACGGGTTTGATTCCAGTAATATGTGTGGAGTGTGCAATTGTTTAGGTAGTTGACGCTTGTCGCGCGGTTTGTATGAGGAATGTTGGGGGGGATAACTCAAGATAATTTTTGCGCAATTTTCTGTGGGCTAAGTTTTCAAAAGTAAATAACAGTACCGCGTTTGAGGTTAAATAATCGATAATATAAGGAGGATAATAAATCGATTGTTACTTAAATTACGAGGAAATTTCTATTTATATTAAGAATGAAGTGTGGTTGATATGTTATGTATACATTGTTGACTGTGGTCTTGAATACTGCTTGAAACATATTCCAAAATCCTATCCAATCTTTTGAAAATTGGGCTCCGGCTATCTCACTCACCAGATCAAACGCGAAAGTATTATATTTCAACTTTACGCCGGTCTTCTGTGAGATCGTGGTACTTACCCGGACGGACCTGCCCATTCGTGCAACAGCCGAGGCTGCTGCGTGGCCCTACCACCGTTTGAACTGCAGATGATTATGTCTGTTAAATTAGGGATTAAGGGGGAACAGCAACAATAACGCATTTCCAGCGTAACAATCGGTACTTTTTTGTTATTTTTTATTTTTAATTCTCTACCGTTCCACCTTCCCGCAACTCCCTAGGAACGTGTGAGCGGACAAAAGGAAACTAATATTCCCACAACGCGAAAGAATAAATATAACGCTTCATTAAAGCTTTCACTAAACACCTTGAGCGCGTGCCGCCTGCAATTATATCGCTACCGGGGGGAGGAAGTAGAAAAAATAACGCTCGCGGGGTTGAAATGTCAGGCCGTGTGCGCCGAAGTCATTGTACTGGCCTCTAAGACATTAATCTTGGAGTTGAACACACTAGCCTTTGTGCTGTTAAGTATGGCGCCTTTTACGGAAAAATTAGTCTGCTCCTGAACTGACTGACCTCTTTGTGCTTGTCCCTTTAGTGTTGATCTTATCGTTTTGGATGCGTAAATGCCTCGTGTATGTCCTTAAAGTTGACGCGATTCCGTCGGAGCCGAAATGATCGTTTTATGTTTAATCTGTATATGTATAAACGGCCGAATCGATTTTAATTAATGATTTGTATTCGACTTTATTTTGCGACTGTTACTGGGTGTATTATAATTTAAAAAAATCAAAATGGATTCAGATTTTTGGCGCCAAATTCATTTTGGGATTTTTTTTTATATTAATCATAGTGTAGGATAACAATGGCTTTGTAAGGATGTTTTACATACATAAATTACTCGTGTACAAACGCATGAATACAAAACAATTACCGTAAGTAAGAACCCACGATACCTAGCGCCGAAGAAAATGTCGTGGCAACTGCGCCATGGAGACCATGTATGTCTCCAAAAAATGTCTTCTAATGAAAAACAATGAAACAACAGACTAAAAGCTAATAAAAAGCTAAAAGTTGTATTTTTAATTGTTGACTTCGATTGACGTCTTCGTTATCATCTTTATGATCATACAAACATTTTTAACTGCTAGACAAATATGTACCTTATTAGGCCAATAAAAATCTGCATTTGAAAAAATCAGACAAGAGCCATGTAATTGGGTCGCGCACTTTTTATATCTATTCCCTATATTATTTCATCTGTGACGCATCTTTCTGAATCGTCAATACCAGGAAACCAACAAAGTTATAGTTGAGCATAAATGGAAAATATATATTGTGATGAATTGAGGACCTAATTTGAAGTTGATTAAAGATAACTAATTTGACTATCGTCATCGTTATCATACCCTAGTGATTCTTAACTTAATCCATACTTATTCGACGCGTGCAAAGTGACTCCCGGCATACCGTGGCGTCGGCAATCCCTACTCATAGGCTGCAGCTGTTCCGCTATTCCCCGCACCCCCTGCATATCCATCCTAATGACCCCCCACTCGTTAACGTACGTGGAAAATATATTCACGGTTTTAGGAATGTTTCACGCGATGTCTCAAGGTGTGGCGTGTTTTTTACGTAATTTTCAACACGATTCACGACCAGCGGGGCCATCTGCCTTTCTGTTCTGTACGCGTTTAATTGGAATTAATTCTAACGTAAGCCCGATCT